TGAATAAGTACATTTACCCATGTTCTTTCATTTCCCATGTAAATAAAACAATGACCATTTTACCCAAACTTTCTTACAGGGACTAATGCAGGAAATACTGTGTTTATTCCAAGAATGGTTCTCTCACCCATCGATAAATAATGGCCATTTGTGATAAAAAGGCGATAATTTCCCTTTATGATTAGCTTTTGCTATGAACATTAATAAGAATCAAGGGCAAACAATGCAACATGTAATTATTTATTTGCCAAGACTTGTATTCTCCCATAGGCAATTATATGTTGCAATATCCCATGCAACCTCTCTATTAAGATTAAAAATCTTAATTCAAAATAAAGATAGTGAACCTAATGACTTTGCCCAGAATATTGTTTATAATGAGATCTTCTAGGATGTTTTACAACAAGTATTTTAATTAGCCTTAATATAAAATGTGATTTCTTTTTGCATTTATTTGTGTTTAATAATAATCAATACTTTACTAAGATATTTCTTTTATGGTGGTATATTATTTATCAATGTTTAGAATAAGGCCTCTGTTACCTAAGCTTTATTAAATATACAACCATCGATTGGTTATTAGAAGGCGAATGAGAGAATTTGACAAAGAAATTTTTTATGAAGGTACATTGATAAAAAAAAAAATCACTTAAAAAAAATTCAAGTTACATCACAATTGCGAGATTATGGTTTCCACATACCACTTAGTTTGTTATAAATGCTATTGTCAACACTCTTAGATCGAAAAGGGATGATGAAATTGTAAATATAATTTCTCAAGAAAATCTAGACGACCCCTTAGAGTTGATAGATCTATTGATGGAGGAATAGCGTGATATCAATAGATTATGAATTGAATTTGAGCAAAAGCCAAAAGAAGAAGGGCATATTTGGAAGATCATACTAAGTCTGTTTCACCAATTAAAGTAACGTGGTTTTTTCAATGTGAAATGCAATTTTTAATCATGCATATGCATTGACATTACCACCACCATTATCAAAAATAGGCTTAAGATACATTGAAAAACTAACATAATATGAACTCTCTGAGTTAGTGTATGTCTTGATGAATTATGAGGAAGATGTAATGATGATTGCTGCAATAGAACAAGTTTAACATAATCTGAATCTTCCTAATGAGGAAAATGGTCAACATTGATTAACGTTAATTGGTATATAATTATTTTTTTTAATATAACGTTTATTATCATTTTTAATGTTTGACATATAACTAATCTAATTTTAATATTTAAAATGTTTAGGTGGTCTTACATGGAGTTCGTCTTGTTGTGAAAAATGAAAAGAAATGCTTGAAATTTTTCGATTTTCGAGACTGAGAGACTGGCAGTCTCTAGTCTAGTAGTCTAGCACTCTAGCAGAGGCAATATTATATAAAATAGTCGGTTTTTTAAGAATATCGAATTGAAACCAAACCGACCGGTTCGATTAACCAATTTTTTTATTCGATTTCGGTCGGTTCGATTTTTCTGCTCACCCCTAAGGGTGATGATGTAGAAATCAAGTTATTTAATATAGAAATTGATAAATTTTAGCATTTGCTTAGTGAAGGATTTGTATTTTGTATTTCACGGTTAAGGGTTCATTGTGTTGACATTAAATATACTATAAGTAAAAATACTATACAAATGCATTTTACAAATATTACAAAAATTATAACAAACATGAGAAATTGCACCAAAATCCCATATTATAAATATAATTTTGTGTCTTTTGACAAAATTGTTGACTATGCAGACGGGAATATAATTATAGGTATGTAGAAATTGTTTTTATACTAAATGTCATCAGTATGTCTAAACATTAATTTATCGTTCATAATAGATGTCATTTAAGTAATTATAAATGTGGGCTGTACTTCCGAGTGTATTCAAATGCAATAAAAAGAGATATCCTTTTATTGGATTATCAATAATTAATTATAATTGTTATTATCTTTATACATAATACTGATAAATTTAATTTATTTAGTTTTAACATTTTTTGTGTAAATAACCATTTAGGTATCAAGAAACCCCATGTGCTCTTTCATGATGTCTATTGGATACCCAATCAACCTCCCCCACCCTATCTCAATGGCTCCGCACCAAGGTAATATTTTACGGAAGAAGTTACTAAACATGATTATTTTGCATTAAGGTCCTATTAATATTTTTTCTTTTTCTTCTCTTTTTTTCTTTTTTACTTTATTTTCCTCTTTTTAGATTGATATTATGGATTTAAATCAATTAGTAATAATTTTGTTTTGCCTACTATATGTTACAATTATAATGGATTTGATCCTCTATGGCCTGGTGAAATCCTTGATAACGTGAGATTCAAAGAACCTAAACCCATTCACTGCAAATGGGCACTACTTGCGGTGCTAAGTAAGCCATGGACCAATAGCATTCTTTAGGGTAAGAAATATGTTGAATGGTGATGGAATCCACCCAAACCCTCCCGATGTCTGCCATGTGATTGTAAGATTGTCTCAACCACATCTTGACACCATACTTTAACCATAATAGCATGGTTTTCGGAATTGGACCAGACGATTGAACCAGAAAATTGGGAATCAGTCACCTAATCAGTTCTGTTTTCTCCAAAAACTGAATTTTCCCTCAAAACTGTTGATTTTGATCAGCAAATCGCTGAATCGGACGATTAACCATTCGAACAGTTTTGACCGTTTTTTTTTCTGTCAGAAACCATTTGACCTGATAACTGGACCCCTGACCGGTTCTGTCACCGGATTGGTTTTAAAAACCATGCATAATAGTGTAGAAGTGATGGTGACCTATGCTTTGCTTGCTACACTTTCTGCATCTTCTTTATTAGAAAAAACTCTTGCCCAATTGAGTGTGGAGGAAGCAAGAGTTGTTGTTCGCTAAGTAGCCAACTAAAAGGTTGGTCTCCAATTTCCTAGTGGAATTACCTTCGATGGCCATGGCTAATGGCATTTCCTTCAATGAAGAGATTAGAGTTAAAGGTGAAGTTGAAGAAATTAGAGCTTGGAGATGAGAAACCTAGACATGAGTGGGCAGAGACGGGGATTGTCGACAGCTTAGAGTTGAGGGGAAGTTAAGGAGATTGAGCTTTGATACATTGAGGAAGGGCTTGGACCGCATGCCCAATCCCAAAAAGGTTATACAATCTCCACTGAGTTTGAAATTGAAGGAGATTTCTCTGACTCTATTTTGCTTTTTCACACATCTTTTTGGAATTTGGCAACAATCCACCAGAAATTGAAAGGGAAAAGAGTATACAATTTTATGTTTTTATAGCGACTGTTATCATCTTCAATATGATCAATATCTTTGTGAGAGTTATTTGTGTACATATGAAAAAAATCTCTAACATCAATTGCAGGTCGCACTTTTGAAACTCTGTCATGTCATCCAAAATTCAAATTATGTCTTTCGGTGGATGTCATGTGTATGAAATGGAGATTAGTTTTGATTCTTCAAATAAAGCTTTGATGTTTGCCCCAAGGCTTAGATAAGGGCAAGTAGGGACAAATTATATAGTAAAACAACCATTTCTTAGTAGTTACCATGTAAAGGCTTAAACCACTATGATGTAAGCTATATATCTCAATGAGTTTCCTTCTTTCAATTCTATTAAATTGTTAAATGACTTGTTGAAGAAATGAGATATGATTTTTTCTTCTCTAGCACTATATAAATGGGGTTTGTCTTTTCTACTTTTGTTGTTGGAGATTTCTCATTTACTACTCTTTAGATTTTTTGAAATCATTATTTAGATTTTTCATTTATTACTTTTATGGGCCAATCAGGTGTTATTTATCAAAATTCATGGGTGGATTTTAATTGGTCAAAACTCTTTCCGTATCATATCTTTTCCTCGTCATAGATTTTCCCTTTTATAGAAAAAATTCAAGTGTTTATTTCTTAAAATTTATTTGTCCTAATTTAAGTACACTACTAATATTTATGTTATTTCTTACATAATTCATACTTGGATATTTAGGCCCCGTTTGGCATCACTCTCCAAGAATGATTCTATTGATTCTGGTGATTTTCAGGATGAGAATCACGTTTGGTTCAGTTGGTGATTCTCATTCGAAACGGGATGAAAAAATCCCGCCAGAAATGCAGTTCCGTGGAGTGAAAAAAAAGTCACTCCGCAGAAACGCGATTCTGGCACCAGTCCAATTCTCACCATGTTCTTTCAAATTAACGAACACGTGCGTGAGTATCACACGTGAAATCCAAGGTAATTCAGTAATTTCACCAATCTTGTAATACCACCTCATCTTCGCACTTCCTTGGGCATTTCTTCCTTCAACGGCTCTGTATTGCAGAGGTACTGCGGCACCACTCAGAACATTCCAGGTAAGGCAAGCCTGTATTTCATGCATAAAGCGGGTTTTCTCCCTTCTATTCTCTATATTTCTTGCCAATATGTGTTTTCTGATGCTCGGTTTTCTTCATCCCCTTCCTTACAGCTCTGAATCTCACCATCCAGCGTTCTACATCCATCTCCAGCCATTTTCTATAATTTTTATGAGTAAAAAAAAAACAGAACAGGAACAATTGCTACCAGCCAAGATGGGTGTCAAAGTCGGTTCACTGAGTCAATGAACAGGAAAACTGCTACCAGCCATTTTCAAGAACTTTTGAAAAACTATCGGTTTTTGTTATAATGTTTGATCCAATTGGTTAAAAAACCATCATTCTCCCTATATTATCTTTTCTGAAGACTCTCATGTCAAACAACTACTGGTTAATAGAGTGATTATGATAATGAAAAACCTCATTTGGTTAGATGCTTATAACTTGTTCTAAAGCATCTTTGTAATATTTATGATTCATATCCTACATGGGACAATGAACAGATTTACCACCACTCTATACTCCATAACAAGTGGTTGTGTCTATCAAACAATTAGAGAATTGATTCAAGGAAATTTGTTACTTTTGATTTTGTTAATTTCTAAGAAATAAGAATCAAATTATTGTGCCAAATAGTATTAGTGATTTTGAGATGAAATTTCTTAAAATCCCTTCTTTCCTGAAAGAATTCTAAGAATGGCCTTAGTGACATGACCAAACGGGTTGGATTCCCAGTGCATTGCACGGGTCCCAACTAGTTTGGATCTAAACACCAACGTCCATCCTCCACATTTCAACGTTAAAACAGTTGCAATCCTTCCGCAATAAGTCAGAATTTAAAAAGTACACCACAAACACTACACACTGCTATTACAATAAAAGCTACCAGTTACGTCTCCCAACCACCCCCACTCCATTCAATTCAAGGCGCTAGTACTTTTTCTCATTTTTTTGGTTGTTTGGAGGATGATGATTTTTTCCGTGGAATGCATTTCCCTTTCATCATGCACCTCTCCTCTGCTTCCTTCTCCACTTCCTCTTCTACTGCTTCTCCCAATCCAACCTTCGAGCTCCTGCCAAAAAAAAAAAAAAAACATCTGGACTAAGTTCAGCAGCACAACAACACTTCAATTAGGAGTATTCATTTGACCGGTTCAGTTTAGAAATACAACCTAATGATATTTTGATTAGACCCCATTTTCATGATTCGAATTAGATTTAAAAATATTAAAATCAAATTGAAATCGATTTGGTCGATTAAAATGTAAATGTATATTCTATTCATATTAATAATTACTATTAATATTTATACCTAATATATTTTGATTAATGATATTATGGGTTAGGTTTGAATGTATTTTTTTAGGACAAATCAACCGAAATAACTGAACCGAATTTAAACACCCATTAAATACTCCACTAAAAACAAACAAGATCTAATAATAATTTAAACATGTCGACCAAATATGGCAAATTTAACTTTTCATTGGATGGGCCAACATTGGAGCCAGCGTCACCACAACTTCTATCTATTAACTATTGGCCCCACAAAGCATAAAATAGTAAAATAGGCGATCTGGTTAGGTTGAACCTTCGATTGTCTCCTTCTTTTGAATTTGATACAGGAGTAGTCCTGTAGTCTGGACTCTGGACATGACGCGGCCGAGCTTGTTTTAACATTTTGAGTCAACATAACCAGAGCCAGAGGGAGGGAGGAAAGAGACAAACCTCTCTTCGTTGTACGACGCCGATTTCTTCAAGGCCGGTTCCACCGCAGCCCGGTCCTCTGTCATCGACTCCACGATACTCCCACTGAAGTATTCCTTCTCTTCCGATTGCAGGTTGCCGAACCGCGGGTTCTCTGACATGTAATTGATCTCATCCTCTTCCGCCATCTTTGTTGCTGTTCTGCAGAGAACTCCTTTATGAAGGCTACTACTACTACTACTCTTCCTTGCATTTGTGACTGTGGGAGAAGGAACGTTCACGTTTCTTCCCCTCGTTGCCATTGAGCTTCCGCAGGCGATGAGTTGGAACAATACGGAGTTACGAGTCATTATGCGCTCAGGGACCGAGTCCGAGTTGCAATCTTGGAACCGTTGAGAATTGTTGTTGGGTTCGTGTGCTTTCTCTGAAACGGTCGAACAGGTCGAAGGAGGAGAACCGTCGTCTAACGTGATCTCCGTGGAATTGTTCTGGATTTTATGGTGGTTCTTGCGCTCTTCGATTTCGTCAGTCGAGACACCCCTTGAGCATCGAGAGTATGTATTTGTTGTGTTGGAGTTGCTGTCTCCTGCTGCTGCTTCCTCTTCCTCTCGTACGTACTCTACTTCTTCTGGTTCTCTGTGTTGTGGACTAACGAGTAGTTTTCTTTTGGAATAAAAAATGGGTTCTGAGCTGTGTTGCCTGTTGCTTACTTGAAGCTGCTGAAACTTCTCTGTTTCAAAGAAGAGAAAATCATGGATGGTCAGGACATGGGGAGGAAAGGGGAGGATGTGATTGGAGACTAACCTGCACATCCTTCTATAAGCTCGGACCCCTTGAGGATATACTCAGCTCCTTCAGCTGGATAGATTACGTCATTCTCTCCTAAGTCGTTCCACACGTAACCGTTCTTGTAGCTCCTAAATCAGTAACCAGACAAACAAACGTCTAAAAGGAGTTAAAAATCTGAGAGGCTAACCAGATATATAACAAGTGAAGTTCAATGAAAATATGAAAGAAAAACGACCGAAAATTAAAGTTATGAAGAACAAAAAAAACAACGGTAATAATTTTTGAGTAAACAAAAACTATACCTTTTGCAGGACCAAGAGAACAGAGACGGCATGCCTTTACCTCTGAGAACAGTAAGCCGATCTATAACATCTGGTATACGAAGGAAAAGAACAAAGAAATAAAACTGTTACAGAAAATGCCGACAAAAAAAGAAAGGAATAAGAAGAAATTATACAGTTCTACTTCTACCTTTCAGACGAAGCTGCTGATTCGCCAAGTGAGGAACCTCCATGAAATGGGGATGTTCAAGCTGTCCATTTCTGCAAAGATAATACAAGACTTGAACTTTCTTGAAGGTTTTGGTCTTGGGCTGCACATATACCCTTGCTCTGTCTGGGCTCGTCTCCCTACTTCTCCTTGCTCGGCTATCCATCTTCTCGCTTTCTAGTTTCTATTGTTCCTCCTCGATGTGTAAAGGTAAGCTAACCTGCAATACCCCACTTATCTTACATTTACTCAGAGTCAGAGAAGAGAGAGAGAGAGAGAGAGAGTGTGAGGGAGGTACCTCGATAGGCGTAAATCTGGAATGAGAGTGGTTAATTTGTCATGCAATTGCGAAGTTTTGAGAGGGGGGGGGGGGGGGGGGGGGGGGGGGGGGGCAGAGAGTCCAGGCAAGGCAAGTTCAAGGCAGAATATAAAGAGTGGTCGCTCTCGGAGTCTCGCTGTAGCACTAGCTTAGCTCAGATCCCTAACGAAGGCAGAAAAGCAATAACCAGATCTCTTGGAACTGACCAAAACCTAAGCTTTTTTACCAGCTCTGCATGTCCCAGCGATCAGTGATTCGTCCATGCACCGCCCCTCTACAACTCAAAGACAAGATGATGGTGCTTACCACAAACAGCGGCGCATGTTAGCTCATCTCATCTGACCTAGATTTGTTGAAAAGACTGAAAACAGAGAAAGGCTGCACTTTTAAAAAGGTAAGTCTCGGGCAGTTGGGTTATTACAGAGGTTTACAGGCCACGCCAACGTTCAACAGCCACGGGGATTTGGATTGTGGCGCAATGGACGCTCATTCTATTAAAGCTGCTCAAACTGACTAATGGGCCTGCAGTACGTTGGCTTCTTGGGAGGGGTGGGGGAAGGAGGAAGGTTGTGGTCCAGTTGACTTTCGAATTGGATGAATCCAAAAAGAGGGGGAGAAAAGGAACAAAAACAGGGAAAAATAACTCTAAAACTGTCAATGGGTCAGCTTTACCCGACAGATCTGAACCGATCCAACCAATCATTTGGGTTTTGGTTCTGTGGTTTGTGTCCCAATTAAATATTAATAATTGGGTTGGGAATGATTCTTACTGTTCTGAACCCAAACCAATTATATAATTAATAATATATAAAATTTTGGTTTTATTTTCTTGTAATTTTTGTTATATTTTGTCTAAAATGATAAACTTTATAAACACTTTGACACGAAAATAAAGAAGATGAATGATTTCTCTGTCATGAATTGAATGAAATACAACCTATTTATAATAGAGCTAGGAATACAATAAAGGAAATAAGGTTGGCGACCTAAATTAGAAACCAACCTATATAGGAAACTATACAAAAAGAAAAAAAGTATAATTAGGAGATATATGTACAACTAATTAGAAAAATCTCATCCTAGAATCAAGGAGCTAATAATGGTAAAATACTAATTATGCTAACATCCCCCCTCAAATTCAAGATGGCAATGTATCAGTCATCTGGAGTTTGCCAACTAGAGCACGAAAGCGAAGAGGAGAGTGAGCTTTGGTAAAGATATTTGCAGACTGATCCTACAAAGAGACAAGAATAAGACGAACAGTACCCTCAAGCACATGATGACGAATAAAGTGACAATCAATCTCAATATGCTTAGTGCACTCATGAAAGACATCATTGTGAGCAATCTGTATGGCGCTACGATTGTCACAATAAAGGGGAGTAGCAAATGAATGAGTAATTCCCATGTCATGGAGTAACCATCGTAACCATAACAGCTCAGAGGTAGTGTCAACAAGAGCTCGATATTCAGCGTCAGTACTGGAACGAGAGACAACCGTTTGCTTCTTACTACGCCAAGATATAAGAGAATCTCCAAGAAAGAAGCAATTACCAGTAGTGGAGCGTCTATCAGTAGGATCACCAGCCCAATCAGCATCAGAATATGCGATCAAATGAAGAGAGGAAGAACTGGATTAGTGAAGTTCGTGAAACAAGGTGCCCTTGACATAACGGATGATGCGAAGCACAGCAGCATAATGAGTAGTGCGAGGAGCAGACATGAACTGACTTACAATATGGACAACATAAGCAATATCAGGACGAGTAACAGTAAGGTATACAAGACTGCCAACTAGTTGCCGATATAAAGTGCAATCACTAAGAGGAGTACCATCAGTGGCTGAAAAATGGGCATTAGGCTCAATTCGAGTGTTAACAGTCTTAGTATCAGTGAGTCTTGCACGAGAAACAAGATCAGTGGCATACTTGGCCTGAGATAGATAATATCCAGATTGGTCGGAGGAAACCTCAATGCCTAAAAAATAATTCAGTCGACCAAGATCTTTCATTTCAAACTGTTTGCTAAGAAAAGACTTAAGATTTGAAATGCCCTGCAAATCATCACCAATAATGATCATGTCATCCACATAAAGTAGAAGAAGTACACAACCCTGAGAGGTCTTATGAATGAACAAGGCATGATCATAAGTGTTAGGTTGAAAACCAAACTAACAAACAGTAGAGCTGAATTTGAAGAACCATGCTCGAGGCGCCTGCTTAAGTCCATATAGAGCCTTACGGAGACGACAAACCTTATTAGGGAGATGATCATAACCAGAAGGGGGCTGCATATAAACCTCTTCAGAAAGATCTCCATTGAGAAAAATATTCTTAACATCCATCTGAAATAGCTGCTAGTGCTTAGCAGCAGCAATCGCAATAACACTACGAACATAAGTGAAATGAGCTACTGGGGCAAAAGTCTCCTCATAATCAATGCCATATTCCTGTGTGAACCCTTTAGCTATCAATCTAGCTTTATACCTTTCAACTGAACCATCTACCCGAGTCTTGATTTTGTAGACCCATTTACAACCAATCACAGATTTATCTAGAGGTAGATCAACTAAATCCTAAGTATGAGTGCTTGTAAGAGCTTGAATTTCTTCTGCCATTGCTTTCTGTCATAGAGGGTCAGTACTAGCCTCACGATAGGTACAAGGCTCATATAAAGATACAATGGTAGAATAATAGTGAAAATCATGAAGAAGAATTGAAGGTTTAGCGACCCTACCAGAATGACGTAGTGAAGTATCAGAATGATCCGAATCTAATTCATCAGGAGGAATCAAGGGCTCAGAAGAAGGCAGAACTGGAGGATCCATAGCCAAGGTAGATGCATCAGGAGAGGTTGCAAGTTGTGCAGTACTGTGAGAGCTATCAGATGAAGGATTAGTAGGACCTGTAGGTAAATCATCAGAAAAAAGCGAAATAGTAGGATCAGTAAAGAAATGTGAAGATGTCGTGGTAACTCAAAATGGGGAGAGACGAGATAACATTTTGTGTTCCCAAAAGATAACATGATGAGATATGCGAAGTCGTTGGGAAAGAAGATCCCAACACCGATATCCTTTATGTTCAATACCATATCCGAGAAAACAACATAAACGTGCTTTTGGTTCCAATTTGGTATGTTCATGAGGTTGTAATAGAACAAAACAGGCACAACCAAATACACGAAAAGACTAGTAATCAGGACAATGGCCATACAACCGTTCATAAGGAGAAATGTTACCAATAATAGGAGAAGGAATGCGATTGATGGTATAAACAGCAGTGAGGGCTGCTTCCCCCCAAAAACGTTCAAGACAAGAGGAAGAGATTAAAAGAGCTCGAACAATATCAAGAATATGCCTATGTTTTCGTTCTRCACGCCCATTTTGTTGAGAGGTACCGGGACAAGATCTATGAATAATAGTTCCATTTTGTGAAAAAATTTGAGTAAGGATAGAATCTCTATATTTCATGGCATTATTAGTGCGAAAAAATTTGATGGTAGAGGAAAACCGAGTTTTGATCATGGTGGCAAATTGAATATAAATTGCAGGTAATTCAGATTTATTACGCATAAGATAAATCCATGTATATCGATAGAAATCATCAATGAAGATCACAAAATAACGCGAACCACCCATGGTATTATGAGGTGAAGGGCCCCAAATATCAGAATGAATAAGATCAAAAGGTGCTGAGGAAATAGAATCACTTATATTAAAAGGCAAATGATGATGTTTTGAAAGATGACATGAAACACAATCAAAGTGTGTTGTTTTAACAATACCCAAACATCCATTAGAAATTAAAGTTCCTAATCTAGAGGTAGAAATGTGACCAAGGCGAGAATGCCAGACACTAGAGGTGACAGTAGCAGCAAGAGATGGTAATTGAAGAGATGATAGCTCAAACAGTCTCCCAACCTTATGGCATGTCCCAATGATCTTCCTTGTCTGTGGATCCTGCACAGTACAACCACGACTTGAAAAATGTAATTCAAAACCAAGTTCACATAATTGTCCAACAGATATAAGATTTAGAGATAATTTAGGTACCAAAAAAGTATTAGGTAGTGACAAATGACGTGTTGAAATAGTTCCTACACTATTGACAGTTAAGGTTGAACTATCGGCAGTATGAACAATTGGTGCAATAGAAGGATGTGACTTGGAAGTAAACATAGATGAATTGGAGGTCATATGATTGCAACAGGCAGAATCAAAATACCATGATGAGAAAGTACCTGGAGTGACAGATAAGACTGGATTAGAAGGAATACCAGAATCAGGTTGGAGCTGGTGAAGAAGAGCTTAGAGTTCTCTAAGGAAAAATTTTGGAGAAGTGTTATCAGAAGAACCCTCTGTCGCAGCAATTGCAGTAGAATTCAAAGCCTGTGAACCCATGGATGAGGAGTTCTATCAAGACGCCTTTTTGGCTTGCAAGTGGTGACACTCAGAAATAGTATGAACAGTCTTCTTACAGTAATTGCAAAAACTTCTTTTTAAAGATTTAAAGGAATTTGAAAAAGTACTAGACGTAACCGGGGTGACTGGAGTAGCAAGAACAACATCAGTAGATAATAAGGATCGCTCATCTCGAAGTGTTTTTAGACAAGTTTCTTCAGAAAGCAAATATTTGATCACAACTTCAAGAGAAGGCAATGGGCTACGATGAAGTAGAGTACCACTAATAGGTTCATACTCATCCCT